TGACTTCATTCTGCAGATGCGTAAGGTATAGGCATTGCCTGCCTCTTTAAAATTACTTCTACTTTACTCTTGCATACAAGCATGTCCTCTCTATAGATATTTTCACAGCAAGAAAAATAATGATTACAATTAGTGGACTGCATGTCCCAGGATGTTTTATATAAAATGTAAGTGAATATAAATATATAATGAATTGCTAGATTCATTATCTTCTAAGATGCAGGCTACTGTTGTTCCAGGTGCTGACCTGGGAAAGGAAGATACCCGACTTGTTTTGGCTGGTTTGTTCATTTCAGTAAAAGGGTTTTTTAATGGCCTACTGCAATGATGTAAGGCTAAACCACACACAAGGTCAAACCTGTTTATGGATATCAAGACTATTTGCATTTTATGATATAAGTGCCTGTCGTGGTTTAGCCCCAACCAGCAACTAAGCACCACGCAGCCGCTCGCTCACTCCCCTACCCCGATGGGATGGGGGAGAGAATCGGAGGAGTAAGAGTGAGAAACACTCCTGGGTTGAGATAAGAACAGGTTAATAATTGAAATAAAGTAAAATAGTAATGCTAATAGTAACAGTATAATAATGATAATAATAATAATGATACACGAAGCAAGTGATGCACAATGCAATTGCTCACCACCCGCCGACCGATACCCAGAGAGTTCCCGAGCAGCGATCGCTGCTCCCTGGCCACCCCCCCCAGTTTATATACTGAGCATGACGTCATATGGTATGGAATAGCCCTTTGGTCAGTTTGGATCAACTCTTCTGGCTGTGCCCCCTCCCAGTTTCTTGTGCACCTGGCAGAGCATGGGAAGCTGAAAAAGTCCTTGACTAGCATAAGCAGTACTCAGCAACAACTAAAAACATCAGCATGTTATCAACATTCTTCTACTAAGTCCAAAACACAGCACTATGCCTGCTGCTGGGAAGAAAATTAACTCTATCCCAGCCGAAACCAGGACAGTGCCCTTCCCATAATGCAAAAGGATTGTTTGCAATGCCATGTAGGTATTCACCTTCATCTATTTCTGAGATTAAGTAAGGCTTTTCTAAAGTGCTCACATGACTGAAGAGGAGAAGTCTTGCTGGGCAGGGGTGTGGTGGGATTTTGAATATCTTCCTGCCTTCTGATGTAGACTCCAATTAGATAGCATCAGATTTGGGTTTTAATTGTGATCCAGTTACTCAACATAGAGCTGTACCCAGGCTACAAGTAAGCATAGATGCACAAAGGCTTTATGTTGTGTTTGGATTCTTGGGGTCAATTTCTCTGATGTGGTGATCCAACACCAATCTTGGCTGGTCTAAGTGAAGGGTATATGAGTAAAAAGCTGTTTTATTTTCTGCAGGGTGGATGTAGTGATCTGTCTGAGCACAACTGTGCGCAATGATACTTTGCAGGATGCCAAAGAGCACAGGGTCTCTCTGAAGTGCCGCAAACAGCTGCGTGTTGAGGAGCTAGAGATGGTAAACATGCATGAAACTGTTGATCTGCCCAGTCTTCTAGTGAGGTCCTTGAATTAAAGCTTCCTGGTTTGTCCACCCTGGGGGAAAAAACGAACCTCATTTGTAAGATGTATCTAACTTATTTTTTCCACTCTTCTTACAACACGAGGCTCAATTGCCTTTCACGGTGAAAGTAATGATTGTCTACTTTAACACCTTAAATACAGTCTCATGAAGGCTAAGGCAAGCTAAATGGTCATTGGAATTTCAGCTAGAAGTGATTATGTTTAGTATGATAGCAATGCGCTACACATGCTGATGTCCTTAAAGTCCTCTAGGAGAGAATAAAGTCCTTGTTTTACAGACTGAGGAAACGAGCACAGATGAAGCAACTCGACTCCAGCTGCTCTGAGTTGCTCAGTGGATAAATAAGAGTAGTATTTGTTCTGGTAGGCAAGGCTGCCTCTCAACTTCCTGCTGCAGTGCTTGTAGCAATAGATTTGTGAGGTCTTTGTCCAGTAGATTCTATTTGAGTGTTAAAGCTTCACCTTAAGTAGGCTCATGTCAGAAGATGCAGCATTCTTGCCTTTGTATGGAAGAATTCAAATGCTGGGCATCACTAAAAGCCGGAAACTTCGTTCACATCCTCCAGATCACCAAACAGATGAGTGGTTGTTAATATGTCCTTTAGCTTTCACATGAAAATATTTTGGCTGTCTTGGACATTTGTGTCGATGCCCTTATAGGAGGAGCAGTGGAAACAACTTGCCGGCACTAAAATTTGGTTTAAACCCTTTCTTCAATGTAAAAATCCAACTGATCCACTGCATGGGTTTGCAAAGTTGATTTCCTGCTAACACCACTTCTCACACTCAAGGCCCTTAAATTCAAAGAAACTGACCTGCCTGTTATGAGAGTTGCTTGCTTTTTGTGAGTAGAGGGCTCTAGTTAATAGAGTAACAAAGTAAAATAGTCTTTAGAGTCCTACTTAAAACTTCATATTGTAATTTATCCTGCAGACTGAGGATATCAGACTTGAACCAGAACTGTATGAGGCTTGTAAAAGCGATATCAAGAATTACTGCCAAAACGTGCCCTATGGCAATGCTCAGGTAATGGATTTTATTAATAATTTACAATTTAATTTGTAGTTTCATTTTGGAAAACTTTTGAAGAACACTTTTGCCCCTGTGAGTGCAGCATTAGATTTTCATTTTGATATCACTGAAATATTTTGTTAGTATTTTGGAGCATAATATCGCGCCCCCCCCCCCCCCCAAACAAGCATTAATATTGGGTGAGTGCTGTGAGCAGTTCCTTCCTCAGTTAATGCTAGTTTTAAGCTATTGGCAGCTGGTTACTGCAAATGTTGCTTAAGTGTAATGTCTGCAAGATGAGGTTTTGGGTTTTGGAGGAAGTCCAGATGGCCCTCTTCATATCATTAAATCTTTGTGAGAAAAGATGAACTTAAAGCAAGTCCTGGAAATAAGCATTGGTAATTACTTTTTGTAAAATCTAGGCATTGGGAACTTAACTGCATAAATCAGGTGAAGATAGCCATTAGGGGAACACATAGCTGTGCGTTTTGAGCAGTGTATGACAGAATCGTGTTGACAATGGATCTGTTATGGTTGTAATGCTGTGTTGTAGATTATTGAATGCCTGAAAGAAATCAAGAAGCAGTTGAGTACCCGGTGCCACCAGAAGGTGTTTAAACTGCAGGAGACAGAGATGATGGATCCAGAACTGGACTACACGCTCATGAGAGTCTGCAAGCAGATGATCAAGGTAATGGTAGTGTGCTGATTTAAGAGGGTGAGGTTGGGATACAAGAGCTGTATTGGTTTTGAGCTTCCCATAAAGGCTTGTTTACAAGACTGCTGTGTTGTTTCAGAAGTATGATTGCTTTTTTGCAAAGTAATCAGTTTATTAACTCTGAATCAGGCTGAGGTTTCTTCAGGGCTCTTCTCTTCAAATTTACTTCCTCCAAATGATCTGATCAAAGCCTCTGCACTAATACGTTTCTTCCTAACTGCCAGCAGAATTGAGGAGGAAGTCTGTGCTGAGGCTTCTAATACAGTTTTTATCCAGTTGGTTTGGATTTGGATTGGCTTTTAGTGAAGGTGAAGAACTTATGGTTACAGAGACTAGTAACATCTCCAGTTCACTGCTGACCTGGTGCACAACAGACTTTCATCAAGCTGATAAAGTGGGCAAAATCATGCAAAACTTAAAATTAGAAATGCTGGCTTAAAGTGGTACCACATGGAAAGCAGCAGTGAAGACAAGACACTCTTGCACAGTAGGCAGAATTGCAAGCCCTGTATGTGTGGTCTGGATGCAGTACCCTGACTCAGTATTGTGGCAGAAGCAAAACATCTTGGGAATTTATTGCTCTCCAGTACAGACTCATGCTTTTAAAAAAAAGACCTGTAATCTCACCAAAATGGTGAGGATTAGAAGATGCAACAGCCTTACCTTACACCCACAGAATCAGTTTTAACAAATAAGTTAGTACCTTGGTCTGAATTTTGGGTAAGCTGGTTCTTGACTATCTAATTCAGGGTGGGAATGGGCAATTAGTATCAGTGAGCTGTTCTCTGCTTTCTCGTTCTGTGTGGTGTTACTTTGTTCTGAGTGTTACTAATAAAATCTTTACCTGCCACTTTGTCCAGCCATTTATGCAGAACAGCAGTATGTGCATAGACTTAAGATTCCCTTTTTAGTTTCTAAAATAAAGGGGAGTGAAAGTAGTCGGGCATGAGACCTAATTTGGTGTGTATTTCTTGCAAAGCGTGCTGTAACTTAAGAATAGAAAATAAAGGCAAATTACTTTTGTTACTGCCAACACAAGCCGGTGCCTTGAAGCCTGTCAAGACTTTATGGCTTAGTGCTCAGTCCATAAGCAGAGGTATTCATGCCCGTAGTCAGTTTAGAGAGTAGCACTGTTCTTTTTAATAGGAGGTGTTGGGGCTAGGAAATGTGTCTGCATACCTCTGGGTTGGGCAGGTGGTTATTCTCTTCCATGAATACAGTTGGTTTTGTGTGGGTTGGTTTCCCCGCCCCTGCCCCCCCCCAAGTGCTTAGTGATGAAACTTGGTTTTTTTGGGTTTTTTTAGCGATTTTGTCCAGAGGCAGACTCAAAAAATATGTTGCAGTGTTTGAAACAAAACAAGAACAGTGAAGTGATGGATCCTAAATGCAAGCAAATGATTACCAAGCGCCAGATTACACAGAACACAGGTATCCTCTTCTGAAAAAAAAACTTTACTTGCCTGCCTGAGCTGTTGAGTGGTCTGCATGGCTGAAAGAATATTCGCTTTGTTTTATTCTTCATGGTTGTCAGTGCACACAGACTTTATTCAGTCAGATTCTTGAGAGTCAGCATGCATTATTGGATCCACTTTATTCCTGAATCTTTTACCTCACAAGTTAAAATTCTGTTGTGAAAAAATACTATTTTTCCCCCAAATTAAATTTATTGGTGGTACATTGTCATGCAGGAAATTTCTATCAAATTTCTTTTGGAGTGTTATGTTCTGTAATCTGAAGATGCGTACTGTAATGAAGCTCTGTCGTCCTTCCTGGTTAGATTACCGCTTAAATCCAGTGCTCAGGAAGGCATGCAAAGCAGATATACCGAAGTTCTGCCAAAATATCCTGAATAGGGCCAAGGATGATACAGAGTTGGAAGGACAAGTCATCTCATGCCTGAAGTTGAAATATGCAGACCAGGTGAGTAGAGCTGGTGTGTGCAAATGAGAAACTGCAGGATAGTGCTGAGCAACAGTCATTGAATAACAAATCAAACTTGGGCTTATGGCGTGTTCAATGTATGTAACAGGCTGTACATAAATGAGTTTTTACACTACTATACAAGTATTACAGAATACACAGGTTAAAATGCAGCGTGATTGATTTATGAAAATAAAGGTCATTGAGTGGGTTAATGACTTTCTCCGCTTAATAGCGTCTCTCTTCAGACTGTGAGGACCAAATTCGAGTGATAATCCAGGAATCGGCTCTTGATTACCGGCTGGATCCCCAACTTCAGATGCACTGTTCTGAAGAGGTAGGAGAAGTAGCTCAGCAGCTACTTTTTGGATTGAAAACTCCCTTCATGAAACAGATTTTGTTTCTTAAAACATGAACTGTCCTAATAATTAAAACAAACAAAAATGCCCTTTGAACTGCTTCTAGCTAGTCAGGTTCTCTGCTTGTGATTTTTGTGCAGTGTGCAAGAATTGCAGTTTCCTGTGCAGTGCTAATACAAAGTTAATTTTTTCATCTGGGATCTCATCAATACTTGTGACTATGGAAAAATACTGCTTTCCTGTTGTAAAAAAAATGTGTGCTAGTTCTCTGGTCTTGTCAACCTTAACTGGAATACAGTCAAATTTTGAATTTTCACTTTTGATAGCCAAATCAGCCATATCTCAAGTATTGCTTATTTCATATCTTAATGTTATTTCTGTGCTGTTCTCCTCCCTGCTTTCTTCTCAGTACAGTAATATTGACTTCTTGCTGTCAGGTTTCGAAGGGTATGCATATTGCATGAGCCAGGATGCCTTTGGCTCTGGGGATTCAGGGTGGGGAAAGTATCTCATCATGTGTTCTCTTGCTGCACACCGTGATGAACTAATGTATTGAGATATAAATGTGCTAAAAGGCAGAGTAATTGTTGTGAACTACTTATGTTAAAAATACCTTTTTCAAAATAGATTTCCAGCTTGTGTGCAGAAGAAGCAGCAGCTCAGGAGCAGACTGGGCAGGTGGAAGAATGTCTGAAAGTGAATCTGCTGAAAATAAAAACTGAAATGTGCAAGAAGGTAAAGAAAATAAATTGAATGTGCTCTAAAAGGCGTCCTGTCCCGGCAGAAGTCGGTCATTTTTCCAGATCACAGCCCAGGCTATGTTCTAGCTAGTATGAAGCCAGAGTTCAAAATTTCCTTACACATCTCTGTTCTGGCCTGCAGCAATTCAATTCAATTTCAGTTTGCCAGTGAAAATTGTGCCAACAATGCCTCCTTTGCAATTCCAGGCTTTGACCCTTTCTTGATTATGGTTGGCAAAGTTTCTTGTTAATAGTCTGTTTTCTGTTGCTGTCTCCATTACCGGCTTCCTGAGTGCTAGGTATGGCCTAGGTACTGGCTATGATCAAGGGCTGTATGAGTTGCCCCCGTGGCTATGGCGCCTTCTTTCAGTTCTAACTGAAGTAACCCTGGCATATCGACTTTGTATTTTAGATTAATATGGGTATTTTAATGACCGTAACTATGGCAACCCTTATAAAACCAGGATATTAATCCAGCCTAACCAAGCATTCATAGCCTCAATCCAGGGACAGTGGTGTGTTTTCTCATGATCCTGGATTTAAAAAGATGATGCACATTTCAGAAACATTGAGCAGTATGAGTTTCGTTCTCTCTCTCTCTCTCTCTCTTTTTTTTTTTTTTTTTTTTTTTGAGATGTACTTGTAATTTCCTTCTCCCCAGGAAGTGCTCAACATGCTGAAAGAAAGCAAAGCAGATATATTTGTTGACCCAGTGCTCCATACAGCCTGTGCCCTAGACATCAAACACCACTGTGCTGCCATTCCACCAGGGAGAGGACGCCGTAAGTGCTCGTGCTTTATTCATATAACCTCAGTCCTGAGAGCCTTAATGCTGGTAAGAAAATGCAGCTTAAGTACTGGATCTTTCCACCAGTCCTTTGTGGGTAATTAAGTGGAATGGCTGCAGGTGGTAGATGCCACTAGAAGATGGCTGTCAAGAAATCCTTCCTTGTGTCCAAGGTGGGACCAGTTCTTCAATCCTGACATAATATCCTTGCAGCCTTATCTGCAAATTTAATAAGTGTATTTTATATTGCGTCCTTCATATGATTACTGACAATAGTGTGTGATACCAGATCCATAACCCTTCTGTAAAATCCCTCCTCAGTTAAATCCTGTTGAAAATGAGCTCTTAATACACATGGACTGAAGTACATGGACTCATTTTTCATTGAGGTTTATCTCCCACCCTGTATAAGTTTCACAGAGGCTGCAGCTCCCAAGCTTACTTATGATAGTGTTATATCAGACTGCATCAAAAGCTTCCCTGGAACTAAGCTGCTTCTCTTACAGAAGCAAATCAACTTGGTTTCACAAGATTCATTCTTAGCTAATCCCCTTGGTCCTTCTTTCTTTATGTCAGTCTTTGTCCATGATTGGCTTCTTTGTTTCAGTATTTTTGACAGACAAAATTAAACTGAAGTCCTTTGATCCTCTCTTTTCTTCTCTGCTTAAATATACCGGTTTTTCTTTTCCAATATTACAGAGGGTAGGTAATATTTACTACATTTTCTAAGTTTATGTAGTAACTAAAGGCTTTGAGACTTCATCAGCTGTTCCAAGTCCCCTAAGACTGAGTTCATCAGGTTCAGACCACTTGAAACATTTATTGAAGTATTTCCAAACCCATACTTTTCCTGTTTGAGGTCCAATTCTTGCACTTTATTACTGCTATTACGTTAGCTAGCTGCATAGTATGTACGGCTGTTTAAGGAAAGCTAGTGGGCAAAAAAGTTCTGAACTTTCCCATCTTTCTGAGTTTATCTGGCATTAAAAATAGCAGCCAAGTATTTTCCTGATCATTATCTTTCATGACAGTTACTGAATGCCTTTCAGAAATTCTGGATATCCTTTATTTATTCCTGTTTTGTTGTAATTCTTTTGATTTGTATTCTGACATGTTTGTACTGAAGGTATGCAGAAGTCTAGCTTAGAGAGAAATCTGCCTCTGAGTGTTTGAACTGACAATTGTGTTTAAAAAGTGAGGAGTTAGTTTAAAGTTTGCAGCCTGTTTGCTGTGAACAAAATAACTTCACTGCAAAGCAGAAAGCATCCAATTAGGGATTATTCAAGTAAGGCAGTATAAAATACAAAAATTTGTCAGTGTTTCATATGAGCATATAAGAGCTTATGTATTAGCCAAGGCGCTCCATAGGCACCCAGAACATTGTGATCCCATTTCCTTTGCACAGGACTGTGCAAAAACTCAGGAAGTTAAACATTTCCAAAACATTTTGTTGATCAAAAGAAACTCCTAACAAGCTGAAGGAGATACACTGTGGTTTGGTTTTTTTTTTCCTGAGCTGAATTTGATCTTAGTTCTCTCTAGAGGGTGGTGGCATGGAATTTCGAGTACAGCTCACAGAAGGTGCAAATTCATAAGACTTTATAAAATCTCGTGTAAATCACATGAATTATGTCTTGGATATGTACTGTAATTTATTTTTGGAAGTTAAATTTCCTTGCACCTCAAAATGCAATATTAATCATGAATCTTGGCGAAATTGCTAGCTTCAAGGGCACAACAGGGCTTTGTATACAGTCTGTCAGGCTGGCTAGTCTGTTTAGAAAGCTATGTAACCATAAGCCTTTAGTAGAATTTAAGTGTCCCTTTACAGCAGCCTTTCCATAGCATGTTGTTGAAGCCACTGTTTCTATTTCATAACACAGTCTTCTCCACATTACAGAAATGTCATGTTTAATGGAAGCCCTGGAAGATAAGCGTGTGCGGTTGCAGCCTGAATGCAAGAAACGCCTTAATGATCGTATTGAAATGTGGAGCTATGCTGCAAAGGTGAATATGTAAAGGATTTCAGTAAACGACTTTGGTTTTTTGCATTGGATCTTTCTGTTGCAGGCTATTTATGAAAAACTTCAACTAATGAAATTCCTGTCTCTGAAGTTCAGCGTTTTGAGTTTGGTCCAGAAAAATTGAAATCAGGTCTCCTTTTTTGAACTTGTATATTTTATTCTCTCAGTGTCTGGGTTGCATCCTCAACAGTGCAGAATTAAACTGTCTTTTGTGCACACAGGGCCTGGTCTCCTCTAGAGAAGGTCTGGGGCAATGAAATAGGGTCAGCAGAACTTCCTGTTACAAAGCTGTCTCCTGAGCAGCAATTCCTTCAGATGAATCATTGCGGGCCTGCTTGTTTGTGGTTCAGGCGAAGTCTGATGATGACAGGAGGCAATAGCAGTACCAGAGACTAAACCTGATAAATGCTGAGGCTGAGGGTTGCATGGAAAGTGCAGCTTGGCTCATTCATTCCCTTCTCACCTCCAGGTTGCCCCAGCAGAAGGCTTTTCTGACCTTGCCATGCAAGTTATGACCTCTCCGTCCAAGAATTACATACTGTCTGTGATCACGGTTGGCATCTGTGTACTCTTCCTGATCGGCCTGATGTGTGGACGCATCACCAAGCGGGTGACAAGAGAGCTCAAGGACAGGTAGAGCCTGGATTGCCTGCTGAAGAAATGCCTGCCCAGTGCCCAGTTTTGTACAGCCCTCCTCTGTATAGTCTACCCACCCCCTCTTGTGAGAGGAGAATAAAAAAAAAAAAAAAAAAAAAAAAAAATTTTAGAACAGCAGCAGGTGTTGGCTCAGTTTTCCCATCCTGGATCTCATCCACAGCATCTTCATCCTATGAAAGTTTGTGTGCAACATTGGCAGCCCAGCCAGCAGCTTTTGTTACCCCTTTGTTAGCAGACTCTCGTTTACCTGCCTGTAGACAAGTCTCTATTGTACTGTTGGAACTGCCTTCACTCTTCAAATCAGACTGATATGACCTGCAGCTCAAGCGGTTTTTAAGTAAATTTTTAAAGACAGACATACCGACTATATGATTTAGGTAATGGTTCATACTGAAATCTAGTCATCCTCTGTGGCTGGGTGAAATTGAGGCAGGAAATTAAAGGGTAAATTGCATCTTACACCACAGTTGGCCTTGTTTTGGACATCTTGCTCATCTTATGTAAAGCATCTTCAGAGCATATTCTTGGACAACCTAAGGACACCAGTCACTGGTGTCATCTTCTAGTGAATATCCTGCTTTTGTTACTGTGGATTTTTTTGGCCGAAAAGATGTCCTCCCTTTCTTCTCTGCCACTCGCGAGATAGAATAAAATACTGACCAGGATCAAATACTCATGTGAGCTGTACAACTTGTATTTCAGTAAAGACACCGTGTAGACGCGAGGCATGTAGAGCCTGTTGGTAGTGTACAGTGCTGCTGTCAGCAGGCAATAAGTGCCCTGATCAGTTACTCGGTCAACTGTTTCATTAGCAACAATGCAGTAAAATTCTAACACTCCTGTTATTTTACCTCGCTGCTGCTAAGCTATTACCCTTCCAAATGTACCATCTACAGATGGTATTGACACGCTGGCAATACAGTGCTTTGTCAGTGATGCAGAAAGCAACTGAACGCTCAGCATGGTCTATCTGTAAAATGGTTACTTGTGGGCTAGTGCAGTGGTTTGTAACTGGCCTGTCAGGGTCTTAATGGTTTGAATGGTAGCACTGAAGAGTATTTTTCATTTCCACAACTACAATTGATAAGGCACAGCAACTGGTGTTTTCTGGGATGGTAGGACACAGGTGCTGGTCCAGAAGGCCAAGCAGGAGTGGATGGGAGGATGATAGCATATGAAAGGCAGAAACATCTGGATCTTTAAGGGAAGTAGCTTTCGCAATGTTATACCATCCGTATGTGCACTCACGCCATATATAGTTACGCTGCCAGAACATGATACTCATACCCAAGAGCCCAAAGAAGTTTTAGAAAAGCTGTACCAGTAGTTGTGGCCTCTTCTTACCATCAGCTTTGTTCCTCAAGTACAAGGAGGTGTGGAGGTCATAAGCCTTGTGCTTTGGCTCAAATGTTGAGTGTGCTGGTGAAATCTAGAAGCGACTGCACAAAAGTTGATGTGTACAGTAGGATATATTTTATTCACCTTTTAGATGTGCTCACCTGTGTGTGCTGCAGTAAAAATCATGTGCCTGATACCGTCCAACTTAGTCTGATGCTTGAACCATAACTTTATTTTCCCACTTAGTGCACTGCTAGGTAAGGCTTGCTTCAGTTCTCTGCGTTCTTCTCTAGAACAGTGGAGGTGCTTCTGAGACTTTTTGGAGTGTGGACCAGCTGATTCTGATGATGCTGCGTGTACAGAATGGTGTATACAAAATACTGTGAGCTTTTGCTGCAACTGAAGCTTTTTGCAAATGTACCTTCATCCCGCTCTGAGGATGGACAGCAAACTATTAGTGATACAGTTTTAGACTTACTATGCTAGTGAGTTTTTCACAAGCACTTCTGGTTTTATATCAAAGTATTATGAACACAAGGCAAGCAGTAGAGAATGTCTGAGCAATGAAGGTTCAGTGGAGAATTAGTGCATGGTAGGATTCCAGTTAAGTGGTTAGGTAGAACAGAAATTAAGCCTGAATTCTTTCTCTCGCCCCTCTTCCCTGGTGCTAACGGAGCTTAACTGGCCCTCTATCAATGTGAAGTGGAGCAGAAGAGGAACAGTTGATTGTCTCTCTTGAGGTACCAGAGGTGTGTAACACCACAAATGTTAGTTTGGCAATTATAAGTGTATATTGTTTCACTTGACAGAGTGCTGAAGTTACTGCTGTAGAGATGGGTGTGTTTGCAGAGCTGCTGGCAAGGGAAGTGGGATCTTTGTGCAGCCTTGCTTGCTTGGCAGAAGTCCCACTTCTCAAAATGTATATCAGGCGTAATTAAATTACTATTGGAGGGCTTTTTTTTTTAAACTGTTGTGACTTTTTGAAAAGGCATTTTGTAACCTGATTAGCTTGAAAAGCCTAATTAGATGGTTTATTGTCTAGAAATAGCATCTTCCACTAAATTCCAAAAGACATTGCAGTGAAAATTGTAGGTTTGTAGCCATAGTTCTGAATGTAAACCCTGTTCAGCTCTGAAGGTGACTTTCTTTACTTTCAGATAGAAGGCTTTCTGGGTTTTTTTGCTTTTTAATTTAGAGAAGGTTAAGGTAAGGATGCCTGGAGCACTGCATTAGGAGTCTGTGGTCTACAGTGGTGTTAGTCTATGGTCAGTGGTGTTTCTGACTGTGTCAGCAGGCTCACCTGGGAATTCAGTTTCAGTGCGAGTGCTCTGGGATGGTGTTATAGGTATGTGTCTGGAGGCCCTCTGAAGCAAAGGTAGGATACTAAATAAATTTCTGCATGATTCCCTCAGATGCCCTTTGTCACTGTAAGGGCACAGACCCACCTTTTAAAGGTATGACACTGGCAAAGTGTCCAGGCCATTTTATCATTGAGCATTGTTATCTCTTCCTGTTTTAAAATGGGGCCTCCTGCCACTGCCAGTGATGGAATTTGTTTTTTTTCATGACTAGAAATCTAGCAGTCCCAGTCTTGAAACATCCTCCTCCTTTTCACATACACCTAAAAATTCAGAGGTCTCAAAAGTGTGGAAGCCCACACAAGCACTCTTTTAAAAATAACCTGCTTGTGCTGTTGCCAACACAACCTCTTGCCTGCAGGTAACCATTTTCCATTGCGGGGAAAGAAAGAAAGAAATCCTTGTAAGAAACACTGCTGTTGCCTTGAACTTGAGGAAGCCTTTTTAACTTCTCCGATTTGATCAAGAGTGCTAGAAACAGCTGCAGTCAGCCAAGAGAAGAGTGTTGGTGTGGCAAAACCTGGGGTACCCCTTCCTCTTCATGACCCTCACCCCTCTGTGAAGAAGGCTGCCTTCCACAGAATGCAATTCGGAGGTGAAGTGGTTTTTTTCTCCTTGTCATCTCAAAACCTTCTCTTGGAGAGCTTATTCTAGACATGGTGATGCTGATGCTCCTGGGGGTGTATGGAGGGGCTAGATGACTGGGGCCTAGCAAGGCATGCAGTTCTCTGTTTCCCTCCTGCTGCTGCAAGGATTAACAAGTTATGTTTTCTAAATGATGGCACGTGTTTAGATAACATGGGTAAGGGGGACTGTGCATGATGTGCACCTTGTTACTTCACTCCTGCTAGCCCATTAGTGTTCATTCTTGTTGACCTTAGTAAGCTTATTTATTGTTTACCTAGCGGGTCTAATCAAGTCCTTTTGCTGAGTTTCAACTTGGGATTCTCCTGCCTCACCTCTGTCATTCAGGCTGCTGGAATAACTCATCTGGGTAGGAACAAAATTCCTGGCACTTCAAGTACTGTCCAGCAAGCTGAGTACCCGTACCCATATGTCTGTGTCACTGCAAAGGGCTGGAAAAGCCTTAACAAAGTTTGAATAATTCTGTAACAAAATTTAAGCATTTCACCCAGAATCTGACACTTAAAAACTCATGCAAATAGAATCAGCCTTGTTCTGAAAGAATCCACAGTAAGCACATTATATGAAAAATAATGCAGAGGAGTGAATGTCTTTAAGAACATAAACTAACTGTGGGTGGGTACAGAGGGAAGATGTGACAAGCCAGAGGGATCACTCGAATCCCATAACGTTGTAGAGGAATTGTGTTCAAGTTGGATGGCGACTTCTGTTAAAACACAACTTTATTATTTAGTTGAAAGAAGATTGTAGTACTTTTTTTTTTTTTACTTTATCAGTTTTGTTTAAAAAAAAAAAAGGTAGTTTTGAGGTGTGTGAGTGCATGAGTGTGGTATGAAACAGGAACATTTCATCTAGCACTTCTGTCCCTATGTAAAATATAGTTCTGTGGACTCAAACAGCTGTAGTGTTGGTTTGCATAGAAGTACATTCTTAATTATGGGGTTTAAAATCTTTAAGGCAGCTCCCAAGTGTACTGATCTTTGTGCAGTCTGCCTGCTTGGAGGCCATACCTGCCAGCTCACTTCCACTGTTGAACTGTGGTTAGAGGGGACCCAAATCACATGCATACGGGAAAGAATTCAGCTGGTACTGCTGTTTGTCCTATACTGGTAGAATTCTGCATTGTACCCACTCTGTTGAGTTCCCGAGTGCTGCATGTAGGGGACAGGGAGGAGTAATAACATATTGCCACTCACTGGCCAAAGGCAGATTGCTGTTTTCTCTTTCCACAACACCCGAATTTCATTCCATAGCTGACCGAAAGCAAGAGTTGCCTTCCTGGGTGGATCATTGCACCCCACTGCCCCCTTGTATTTACTGAGTAGAAGTGCTTGCATAGCTCTCACCTTGGGAAATACTGAACATGGGGAAAAGGGAGAGGTGTGACTATCACCTGTAGAAACTCATGGCCAATGGAGGTGAGCAGAAGCTGTGACTGATGTTTGTGTTGGACTGGGAAGCGTACCAGAGAAACCAGAGCCGGGTTTTTCGGGGAGGTAAGGGGGTACCCCAGCACACCCAGCCGCCCCCCTCAGGATGGCGCTGCAGGCCTCCCCCCACAGTGTACAAAACAGACCCAGCGGATTCCTATTGTACAGCAGAAGCTGTTTCAACTTAGTCTCTTTTTTTTTTATTTTTAAATGTGACATTAAGGAGACTTTTTTTTTTGTAAATTGTTTTCCCTTTCTGTGTATAAATCCTGGCTGTTCCTTGTTTTGGGTTTTTTTTTTTTTTTTGGTTA